AAAGAAAGAAAGAGACAGACACACACACACACACACACACACACACACACACAGACACAGACAGACAGACAGACAAGCGGACAGACACACACACACACACACACACACACACACATGTTGGACCATCAGACAACCTTTCATTCTGGTTCATCCACTTACAGACCAGACAGACAGACATACAGACATACAAACAGACAGACAAACAGACGGAGACACATACAGACAAACAAACAGACATACAAACAGACAGACAAACAGACGGAGACACATACAGACAAACAAACAGACTGACTAACTGACTGGCTGACTGACTAACTGAATTACCAGACAAGGCGACAGACAGACAAACTGAGAAACAGACAGACGGACAGACACACACACACACACACACACACACACACATACACACGCATACACACACACACACACACAAACACACAGACATGTTGGACCATTAGACATCCTTTCATTCTGGTTTATCCACTTACAGACCAGACAAACATACAAACAAACAGACAAACAGACGGACAAACAGACAGACAGACAGACAAACAGACAGACAAACAGACGAAGAGATACGCAGAACCTGGCAAGCCATCCTCCAGCATATACTGAATGTCTCCCAGGAGTCCATCTGAGTAGGTCAGATGGAAAGGCACACCAAGTGGGTCTCTGAATCTCATGGTGACGTCTCCACCATGCTCATATGTCATGGGACATACGTCCGGGACCCAACCAAGAATGGTCGTGCAACCGTGCCTGCGGCGAATGCGAGCCATGTATCCGTTCTCACTGTCGCCGTGCTCTTGGGCCGTACAACTCCCCTCAACCATGGACCACATCCCCTGGTCAGCCATGGAGTCATAACCCGCACACACCATCTGACGCTCCTCCTCCCTTATCTTCTCCCAGCACCACTTTGCGTGTTCAACCACCATGTCGTGGTCCTTTACATTCACATTGAAAATTGAGACACGTGCCAGAACCACGAGGAACTGCCAATGCTCCACAATGCTTGCATGCATCCATCCCAATGGGAGCCAATGCCCTGATTGCAGTCTTGCTGCCATCGTCACCTTGCCATCAACCACTGCAGGATGCAAACATCCTGGAACCCAATTGACACGATAGCCATACTTTTCAGGGGCCATATGCTGCTGCAACTGTCCTTCAGGGATGACACGGGCCCCAATGTCCATGGCAGACAGAACATCACTCCTCATTGTGACATGGTCCCAAATCTGCGAGCATACTCAATCGTACGTGGCTTCCTGCCCTCTTGCATGTGTGTATGTGCTGCCATCCTCAGCAGTGAAAACTTTCCCTTCAACCACCTCTGAGTCCACAGGGTTCCGAAGCGGCGGGAAAAAGCAGCTAGCAGTGTGGGTATTACATGTCATTGCCTTCTTCTCGTCTTCTGAGACCTCCCTGTCGAGGTGCCTGAAGGAGAAGTTGCCATTCACATAATGCGTGCTCCAGACATTTCCCATGGCATCACGCATCATCATCCTCACACGGCCACATGGAATCGGGATCACACATGGCACCCAACCCCATCTAGGATCCCTCCTCGCATCGCTCTCGTGGCACGCCGTACTCCCTGTTGCGTCGTTCCCGCCAATCACCCATGTCTTTCCGCAATCAAAATTGTCGTACAAAAAATCGTTCAGCCTGAACTCGCCTTGCGCCTCCAGAACACGCCACACGTCTATCGCATATCGTGCTTTCACCTCTGTTGTTGCCCCATCGTTCAACCTTAATAGTCTGTCAAACACGATTGCCAGAGTCACGTTTCGCCATTTATTATTTTTGGGGGCAGGAAATGAAACCCATGTCCCTTCGACTTTGAATGCAAAGCAGGGTGCTCCAACAATACCCGGTTGAACACGACCCGACACCCAATTGATGTCATATGGGTACTCTTCTCCTGCTGATGTCTTCACCATATTTTCATCTTTCACAATACACCCTTTCAGAGATTCCCTGCTTCCCAGATCTCCCTCCTCTCTCTCTTCCCCAACCGTTTCCGTCTCACAAGTGCTCCGTCCTGCATTATTCTCTGTTTCATCACCATCACCCATCATCTTTGCAGTCTGTGCACATATTGTCGCAAGCACCTCTGCACAGTCTGCGTTGTTCCCTCGTGCCGAATTCCCTTCCTTGCTGCCATCTGCAAAACCCTTAAGAACGTCCTCCGTCTCCATGACGCATGTCTCTCCACCGTTGACAGTCGATGCAATCTCGGGTTCCATCTATTGTATGAGACACCACATACATTTATGAGAACACGTAGCTGCGACATGGACCCCTCACCCGAGAGAGAGAGAGAGAGAGAGAGAGAGAGAGAGAGAGAGAGAGAGAGAGAGGTTCACTAGTGCGGGTCAGAAGAACAACAAACAGCACCGGTGGACACTGATATGGCACGCAGTAGTGAACAACTTGTGTGTCGTGAGGCAAAAAGCGGCAAGCATTATGGACATAAATTTACACAGACATACAGAAAGTAATAATGCAGACATCACTTAAACACACATCATTGTGTGTGTGTGTGTGTGTGTGTGTGTGTGTGTGAGAGAGAGAGAGAGAGAGAGAGAGAGAGAGAGAGAGAGAGAGAGAGAGTGAAAAAGAAGAAAACTTCGTACTCATGTGGGGTCTTTTCATGCCGCTATTGTAAAAAAGTGTTTTCATTGTGTGTGTGTGTGTGTGTGTGTGTGTGTGTGTGAGAGAGAGAGAGAGAGAGAGAGAGAGAGAGAGAGAGAGAGAGAGCTACTCTATACTGCGGGCCAGAACTCCAACAAACATCTCATGCGAGACAGACATTGGCCCGCAGTAGTGAACCTCATGCTGTTGGACAGGGAAAGACGCAACGACAGAGAGCGGTTCACTACTGCGGGCTAGAACGACAACAAACAGCAGCAGTGGTCACTGATATGGCACGCAGTAGTGAACCACAAGTAGTTGGAAACGCAAGGACGCAGCACCAGCGAGAGGTTCACTACTGCGGGCCAGAACTCCAACAAACATCTCATGCGAGACAGACATTGGCCCGCATAAGTGAACCTTATGCTGTTGGATAGGGAAAGACGCAGTGACAGATGGCGGTTCACTACTGCGGGTCAGAACGATAACAAACAACAGCAGTGATATGGCACGCAGTAGTGAACCACAAGTATGAAACGCAAAGACGCAGCACCAGCGAAAGGCTCACTACTACGGGCCAGAACTCCAACAAACATCTCATGCGAGACAGACATTGGCCCGCAGTAGTGAACCTTATGCTGTTGGACAGGGAAAGACGCAGCGACAGATGGCAGTTCACTACTGCGGGCCAGAACGACAACAAACAGCAGTGATGGACACTGATATGACACGTAGTAGTGAACCATAAGTATGTCAATATGGGAAAAGGCAGCAAACATTATAGACAGAAAAGTGTGGAGATAGATAGATAGATAGATAGATAGATAGATAGATACCGTCCAAAATTCTGGCCCTGTCTATCTCCCCACTTGTCTCAGCTCTCCTTACTTCGTCTCTGACCCTGAAAACGATTCTGCGCAACTGTCTACGTGTGGGAATCGCTCTGTCCCGACAGTAAGTAAGTAACCAGGCTAGCTCGACAGCAGTTGTCCTAAACTGTGTTGCCCTCTGCAGTACAGCGAGTAGCCTCTGATGTCTCTCCTCTTCGCCAAAGACTCTTCCCGTGAGGAATCTAGGAACGATTACTGCTCTCACAGATGTAGCTCTAGGGAACTCCCAGTCGTACGCAAAATGCACCGTGTAGAAGGTTACCGAGTCAGCTCCGCTCCTCTCAACAAACTCACTAAACACTCTCGCACCAAATCTACGTGCTAATGACGTCAAGCATAAGAGAGTGTGACATCGACGGGCAGTCTCTATCACTAGATACATCCACTCCTCCCCCGACAGATACAATCTAACGTTCACTTCGGCGCGAAGAGGATCGTTGGCCCTGTCCCTTCTAGCACACACTCTAGGCTCCGCCTCAATTCTCACCCACAAGAAGACGCCTTCGCGAATTACTAGACCTCGCTGCTCAGACGGTCTATACTTGCTTGATCCTTCCAACGGGAGACTGATGACGTCACAGGAGCCGTTCCGTTCGACTAGATGCACTCGAGACTCCGACTCGATGTAGACTATTCCTAATCAAAATAAAACGGTTTTCTCTCAGTACATCACTCCCTGTGCCACTCTCGGACTGTTGAGTTCACAGACCCCCACGACAGGCCTCCTCTGATCACCGGTGTATCCCTTCAAGGCGTCAACAGGCCTAGAAGAGAGCCTCCCTCTGGCGATCTCTTTCTACCCTCGTGTCAAGAAGGAGGTCGGATCAATGTGCCATCATCGCTGGCCTACCTTCCCTGTCGCGACCTGAGCACGAGCTGGCCAACTCATGTGCTCTAGGGTGGACCGAAGTCACACGYGAATARGGAGGCGGTGTCTCACTCSTGCATCCTCACTCCTATCCATGCCTCTACTCGGCCCTCCTCAGGCATGGTCTCACATCCCGACTCGTGCTGTGAATCAATCCCCCCTGCTATACATCAGAATCGACGAGCCTGTCTAGTCCCAACCCAACTCCTTGCAATCTGGGGCGCTTCTCCCCTCCCCTTTAATACCTTCAAGTCATCCCCTGCTTACGATTCTCCTTCTTAGAATCAATATCAGGGTCGACCAACCAAAGGGTAGGGAAAATCAGAATAACATCCCTCGATCACAAGGAAAGGAAGAGAAAAGAAATGCATGAAAGACGAGAAAAGAGCATGAATCAGCAAAATCACAAAATGCAGAAATCACAATCTCACCAGAGGACGTCGATCATGAGTCGGTGGGGGTGTCGCCTGCCCGCTCGTGCTCGTACTGTCCAATGTCTCCCCTGCGCACTCCGATCACTTGGCCAGCAGACTAGCCCCCTCTCGTCTGCCCTGTTCGAGTCGTATCCCTGTCCTGTTCCTCTCACCTCCCCGCGGTTACAGGCGGACCGAAGTCCTAAGAGGCAGCCTTCCCCGGCAACGGCGCCACTGTCGACCGGTAGATGGGCTCTGCCGGCCTCCAACACAAACCCTACGTCTCGCGCCGCGTCTGTCACCCACGGGAGGGTTGGTCGGGGCTCCTGTAACCTGCACAAGCCACATCAGTACACATCCAAGACAAAGTGTCGCTCGGACCGACTTAAAGCCATGCGATACAAGTCTCAAAGAGTAGGCAGGAAAAATAACAATATCAGAGTCTCCATTCAGTCAAGTACAATGGGATGCTGTGCACAGTTCCCGATCTCAGGTGAAGTCCCCCTGTCTATGTGCGTAGGGTCCGTTTGAGTGCCTACGGAACGCATGGATAACCTCCGTCTAACTCTCCCCCTCACGAGGGCTCGCCGATACCTCGCATGCCTGTCCCACGGAATGGTGCTTGAACTCTCTGTGTCAGACGTGTCCTCCCTCGCCCATCGAGGCCATAGCTCAAGCCCGGTCGAGACCATGCCTTGCTAGGATCCCGATCCGACTAGACAATGGTCCAGAGGCCCGTTGGTGGAAGTCCCTCTTCAAAGGCCCTGTTCGCAGTACCTCTTCAAGGGCCCGGTTCGTGAGGGCGCCTCTTTGGACTGGCTCTAAACCGCCATGCAGCCCTCCGGAAACCCGTATCACAAAGTACCCTTTCAAAAAGCCCGGTTCGGAATTGTACCCTTTGGGCRTCCACGAGCTTCAAGTTGACCAACCACTGCCTCAAGACCGTCGTGAGCCACCTAGGAAATCCGAATCACGAAGTACCTGTTCGGAATGCCCAGTTCGGAAATGTGCCCTTTGGGAGTCTTGGACCCTCAAGATGACCGATCACTGTTTCCAAGCTGCCATGAGCCCCTTCGGAAATCCGAATCGCCAGGTGCCTGGTCAGAAAGCCCGATTCAAATCGTGCCTCTTCACGAACATCCCCCTTGGGAAGACCACTGCACGGTCGTACCTCTTGGCGGACGTACCTCTTAGAACACCCACTTCAYGGTCGTACTTCTTCGCGAACGTACATCTTAGAAAGCCCACTTCACGGTCGTACCTCTTCGCGGACGTACCTCTTAGGAAGCCCACTTCACGGTCGTACCTCTTCGCGGACGTACCTCTTAGAAAGCCCACTTCACGGTCGTACCTCTTCGTGGACGTACCCCTTAGAAAACCCACTTCACGGCCGTACCTCTTCATGAACGTACCTCTTGGAAAGCCCGCTTCACAACCATACCTCTTCGGGAACGTACCTGTTGGAAAGCCCGCTTCACAACCGTACCTCTTCGGGAACGTACCTCTTGGAAAGCCCGCTTCACAACTGTACCCGCTTGGTAAAGCGTCCGCTCGATATAGTATCCTTTCGTCGAAAGCGCCCGCTCGACAAAACGCCCCTTCAGCAAAGTGTCCGCTCGGGAAAGTACCCGATCGGTAAAATGTCCACTCGGTGAAATGCCCCCTTCAGCGAAGTGTCCGCTCGGGGAAAGTACCCGCTCGGTAAAATGTCTACTCGGTACAATGCCCCTTCGGTAAAGTGCCCGCTCAGGGAAGTGTTCGTTCGGCGAAAGTGTCTGCCCGGTAAAATGTCCGCCTGGTACGAGTACCCGTCCGGTAAAATGCCCGCCCGGTACGAGTGCCCATCCGGTAAAATGTCCGCCCGGTACGAGTGCTCGTCAGGTAAAATGTTCGCCCGGTGCAAGTGCCCGTCCGGTGAAACGTGCGTTTGGTTGAGTGTCCTTCGGGTCAAACATTCCTACGGTAAAACAACCCCCTTCGGTAATGTATCCCTTCAGTAAAATACGTCTCCGGCAAATGCTCTTCCGGCAGTGTACCCTTCCGGTGAAATGCCCGTCAGGTGTGCTGTCCCTCCGGTAAGCGCCCCTCCGGTATAAAGCCCCTTCGTCGAGCCTGATTCGGGAGGCGCCCCTTCACATGCCTGATTCAGTCTGGTGTCCCAGGACCTTTGTGAAGGCCCCGTTCGACACTCGTCACACGCGCCAAAAGAGCCGCCTTGGCCCGATGCTCTGACTCCATTCCCCGCTAGTCTCTTGCTGATGGTTCGCAGCTACCTCCTTCCCCCGGCGCGTGATAGCGCGCGGCTATCTCCTTTCCCCGGTGCCTATTGACGGCAGCACCTCATTCCCCAAYGCGTGATGGCGCGCAGTTATCTCATTCCCCCGGCGCGTGATGGCGCGCAGCTATCTCATCCCCCCCCAACGCATAATGGTGCGG